GGATCGCTAATTTATAATTTACCTATGAATTCTATTAATACGAATCGAAACCTATTTGTTCTTTTTAGACGAATCTGCCCATCATGATGATCTCAGTTTTAACACCCAATCGAAATGAGTATCAGCGTCCAAAATATTATTTTCGTCTTCTAGATATATTTTCGCTGTTTTGAATCGGTGAGTATCTTAGTTTGTTTTAATTAAGTCAAGTAATTTTGATTAAATCTTAAGCTATGTTTATTACTGACAATATTCAAAATGGCTGAGAAACCATTGTAATCCCATAAAGACAACACCATTAATTTCCCAGCAAACTTTGTGACTTAAACAGACATGAACGATTATCCTGGATATCGTGCCACTTGTACCAGGTAATGAGAAAATAAAACTTGTTAATTCGTACAATTGGAACAGTGAACAGTGAAAAATCCGGCAAAGGAACGGATTGGTAAGTTGAGAACAAACCCACAAACAAAAACAAGTTTCTAAACAGAATTAACTTTATAAATGTACGATCAAGATATTTTCTAATAAATATCCGATTTCTGAATCTAAAAACTGATTTATCGTCGAATTAAATATTTTATATCTTATTTTATTTATAATCGTAGGCAAAGTATACAATTAATGGACTATTGACAATAACATATAATAAGCGTTAATAAATAGGTGAAAAGTAGAATTAGAATAAACCGAACGAGTTTATATTTATGTAGACACATATTAATTAATTTAACATTTCTATACGGTACATTTTGTAAGCTTATAATATATAGCGGCCCGCTCCGACTCCGCTCGGGGCTTTAACAAAAATTTCAATGATATTTGACGTTGTTTTATTTTTTTAAATAAAAGAACACTTATTGCGGCATAACTATAACAGTTAGACATATGCTGTCGCGACTGTTATTGCAAATAATAATGTTCTACAAAGTCGTAGTACATTATTTTATTCTATCATCAATAGTTTTCGCAGGGCATGCGATGTAAAGAATATTTTTGGTAATTTTTTACTCCTTGGGTTACATTATTAGAGTTTTAGTAAGGATCCCTAATTTTTTTCAAAAAAAAAGATTATAGCCTATGTCACTCGAGAATAGTGTAGCTTTCAAACAGTGAAAGAATTTTTCAAATCGGTTCAGTAGTTTCGGAGCCTATTCAATACAAACAAACAAACAAATCTTTCCTCTTTATAATATTAGTATAGACAATCTAACTACATTTCTTTATTGTATTGATTTTAAATATTTCGTCACGTATACCTAGTAAGTAAATAATTCGTTCTAAATATTATTTTTAATTAATTTTGTGATAGTCCGTAGTAATAGCGAGGATGTGACTATGTGCGCTATAAGGACATGTGGGTTATGACAATTTTATATTAGGTAGGCAAAGATCTGTCGTTGAGTTGCTCGGTAGACCGACGGCAACTTTCCAAATGTTGTTCGGAACTTGCACATTTACATCAGTAACATGTCCTTCTTCAAACGAGGCTAGCGGAGAGTACTTTATGGTAGGCAGCGGCTTAGTTCCAACCCTGGCATTGCTGACGTCCATGAGCGACGGTAACCACTTACCATCAGGTGGGCCGTATGCCCGTCTGCCTACAAAGGCAATAAAAAAAAAGTGATTCTCATCAACTTTTGTGTGCCGACAAATTCCTAGTGTCTGACCAAATTTTACAAATTAATATAGTAAAAAGTTGCTACCAACTTTTATGCACATGAAACCATGCTGAAATTATAAATGTATTACAATTAAAAAAGATGTATAATTTTTTTTAGTGTAGTTATAGGTAAGTCAAAATATTTATAAACGCCTTTTTTGCCGTCGAATTTTTTAATTGTTAAACAAAAAGTTTGAGAATCAATGTTTTTACATAATACATAATATTATATTATACATGTACTAGATGTTTTGAGATTACCGTTAAGACTGTTTGTGTATTGTTAATTATTTATCTTCTCAATTATTATTATACATGATTTTATTCTTACTGTGGGGTGGAACATAATGGTTACCTGTGAATTTTTACCAGATTCCTTCGTCACAAACGTCCTCGAAAGCTTTGATTAGTAAACAGTTAAGGTTCCCGTATTTCGCCACACAGGGAGGTCTCTCAAGTCAGCTACTCTGGATCGCTATACTAGATAAGCGGAGACCGGTAGCGCCCACAGTTGCCGTAGGATCTGCAACTTACACGCGTGGGAACAAAAGCCTTTACCACCAAATTCCTTTAATTATACGGAAAAAAAACTGCCAATAAATTGTAGATTTGTATATGTAATCATAATGTCTACATTCTAGTGAGTAAAATTTATATACAGCGTAAATAAGCAACATGATCTATTGATTTTATACTCTTCAATATGAGTCGTTTTCTTACACACCCGACTCAGTCGACGAGGCAACGCGAAGCCACCGTCATCCTAAATACGTCCAATCAGAACCTCCTAAGCCACTCTCGGTGCTTTTAGGCACTCCAACCACCGATCGTCGATCTTAAACCGCTCATCGACATAACCCACTAGGTTTCTGGCCGGATCCTCTCAGTGGGTGGCAATACCGATCCGGTGGTAGATTCAGCGAAGCACTGCTCTTGCTAGAGTTAATGTTAGCAAGTGGTCCCAGGTTGACAGTAGTGGATTTACACTAGGGGCAGTCGGGACAAGTGCCCAGGACGACAAATTTTTTAGAGCGGCAAAATTTTGAAATTAAAATTTTATTTTTTATTCTTATCAAGATTGCTCTATATAATTAACTAATGATTTTCTTTTTAATTGATAATCCAATAAATTCATTTCATCCATTATTTGTGAATTATAACTTTGGCACTTTTGGTAATAATTAATAATCAAAATGACTTAATCAATTTATTTCCTTGGACATTTCAAATAATAATCGATTTTTCTATTTTCTGGAATAAAAGAAATTTAATAAGTTTTTTATATTATGAAGTAATATAATTATGAGTCACCCTTAGTGCAATATTTATAATTGGTAGAAAAAAACAAATATTTATTTATGTTTTTGGAATAAATTATTTATTTTAATTTTGAAACATAAAATATATAAACTATAAGTTTAAGTAAAATTCCAGTATTGGGGCGGATTTTTTTTCGGTACCCAGGAGCGGCGTTAAGTTTAAATCCGGCCCTGCAGGTTGAGCTCTCAGCCCGCGCCGCCCGCGCGTACTTGGAATAGCCCTTCGGCTACTAAAGATACTAATAAACAGCTATGAGTCTGAGGATCTTACATGATAACTCTAATCGAGCTAATACCACCAAGTCCAACCAACTCATAATTGAAACAAAGGACTTCAGCAAAACGTTTTTAATTCGTAGTAAATTACTTCACATTTAACAACGTACAATAAATACAGTCTCTAGTTTAAATCTGGTGATCACGTCTTATGAATGTAACAGAAAAACAATTCTCCATCTCGCTCTAGCTTTCCATGACATAGCATTGAAAGACCGTGACGAAGCTAATCAAGATAAACGTTACGAGAACAAAATTAATCGTGTTCAGTACGCGTCATAACCAATCGGGTACGACAATACTAAATTCATCTTAAACAAAGACATAATTTTAAATCGTAGTTAAACAACGTGTGGTAATCGTCTACTTATTACACGTTAGGTTTTCCTCGAAGTATTTTAATGTTTTTTTTTTTTATAACCTTGTTAAAAGATCAGTCGTCTTTACAAACAGTATTAATTTTAACAACATACTATCGTTTTTTCTTAATAGAGAAGATGGTTGGCGCTTACTTAACAGCTGGGATTTTCTTATCGTAAAGATAAAAAACCAAGTGTAACAAACTCACTGAGACCGTATTAATTCCTTTCGATTTAAATGAACTAAATTGACGTCAGTTAGCAGAAAGGGCAAAAGGTAAAGGCAAAAGATCGAAAGGAATTGAGTGCATTTGAAGAAACCTAAACTCAACATTGGGTGAATATTGAAAGGTAGACCGAAAATTGGTTCTCAGTGGGTCGCGTTTCCGATCCGGTGGTAGATTCTGCGAAGCACTACTCATGCTAGAGCCAGTGTTAGCAACACTCCCGGTTTGAGCCCCGTGAACTCACCTACACGTTAGGGTAAAGCTGAAATAGCCTCTCAAGGCTATCAGCATAAAAAGGAAAAAAAAGCACAATATCTATTTGAAAATTCGAAAACAATATAATGGCAGCAAAACAAACTATCGATGCAACTCGTTTCAAAAAGTTACGATATAACAGTGAATCCATGTTTCAAACTTAAAGATACATCAGACAATTTACTTTTACATAAATTATTAGATGCTCGGCTGTAATAAGCACAGTATGATAAGAGCATGAAGTTGTTCGCGATTATATCATCACATGTTTTAGCATACAGATAATCATTATTTTATAAATAGGCCCTTGTGTGTTTATTATAAAGGTGCACAGAAATTTGTATTAACGTTTTAATACGTATAGTTCGTATTTAATTTAGCCTCAAACAACTATCTTATTCATGCATAGACGTTTGTTTGAACAGTTTTAGGAAACAAGCCAATCCGGTGGTAGATTCTGCGAAGCACGGTTAGTGTTAGCAGCGTCATCAGGTTTAAGTCCCGTGAGCTCACCTATTTGTTAGGTTACGCTGACACAGCCTCTCAAGGCTATCTATCAGCTTAGACAAAAAAAGGAAACATTTTTTAGGAATGTTCTTTTTAATAAAAAATAAAACCGATTTTAACAACATAAAAAGAGAATCTCATTAATGTAGTCGATTAAAAATGCGTTATTAAGGATAACTCAAACACTACTGCTTGGAACTTGATATGGTATATATTATATGCGTCCACATGCATCAGCATCAGCTATCAAATAAAAAAGAATCATTTAAAATCGGTTCAACTACAAAATGTAGTAGTAGGTTTGAAGTTACACACAAAAAATAAAAAATTGAATTGAGAACATCCTTTTCCTAAAGTCGGTTAACATAACAAAATCAATGAAAGAACTTACATTTATCCTATGTTTTACGCAGAATGACGAGTCAAACGACGCGTGTTCGAATCTGAAAGAAAACAAATACATATGACAAAATCAATTAGATGTAACATTGACTTAAAAAAACGACATATTTCAATTCAAGAATTCATATTGTGAGAGCAAAAAACAAGTAACGTTAGGCACTTGTCTTATCAGACCACTGATGTGGAAACTCGTAAATTAAGCCCTCAAAATAAACTAAAGCATGGGTGTATTGCAAAAAAAAAAAAACAACTCGAGTCGTTCTTCAATTCCGAGAAACGAGATAAGCTGGTGTTATTGGTGACGAAAAAACCGCAAAGCAATCCAAATTCGATCTCATAGTGAACTTTGGTTGTTGTTTGGAATGAATACGTTAGAAGAAGTCTGAAATTGGCACCTGTGACAGAAAAGCTGAGAAGTGCGCGTTTGGGATGGTATGGACATGTGATGAGACGTAATGAAAATGAGGTTAGTAAGAAAATGTTAACAATGAATGTGGAAGGATATAGAGGAAGAGATAGACCTAAGAAGAAATGGATGGATTGCGTGAAAGACGATATTGGTAAGAGGGGAGTGAGCGAAGAAATGGTATATGATAGAAGAGTATTGAAGGAGAAAACATGTTGCGCCGACCCCAGGTGACTGGGAGAAGGGCAGGATAATGATGATGAGTGAACTTTGTTCGTATCGACGTGAGTACGTAAACAAATGTTACCAAGGTTTCATTGATTAACAGTTACATTATGTATATTCAATACGGTGATCACTTAATAGCATGGCCGTTTATTTAACAACAACTTTTCTTCAAATTCCAACAACATTACCGTACAAAACTTATTTAGTCAGAAGATCGCAAACGTATAGAACACGAATGAGCAAACTAAAACATAGAAAAGCTAATTTTTACTATTGCCTTCAGACATCATCTTTAATTGACATCAACAATGCGAGGGGAAAGATGCCCTTGGCATTTGAAAACTAATCTGAAGACAGTCGTGGCGCTTAGATAACACCGCCGAGATGAGTTCATTGAATAGCCTTATGGTACACAGCAGGACAAATCATTGGCGATATGAATTAGCGCAGCAGTTCCGGGCTATGACGTAATGCTAGGCATTGGAATTTTAAAAGAGAGATAACAAATGAACTTAAGCAATAAGCTTTTTTTTAATGCCAGTGTTAGTAAAAGACGACACAGTTTCATATCACTTGTGGTTGCCGATAATTTGAGACAAGCCACTGCCTACGGCTTAATTACAGCAACTCCGCACAGAATATCTGACAAACCCACAGAAGTTTTCTCGCACTAAAACTGTATAATCTCAAAACTTACTAATTTTAAAGGAGAGTGTTTAAAACATGTAATATTTTTAATATTAATCATCTTTGCAACATTTTATTTTTATTTTTTACCAGTGACATTATCTGTCTTTTAAAGTAAGATAAAATTATGTATTAATTTTGTTAATAGTAGTTAAAACATAGGTAGGTAAACTAAAAACACTAAAACACTTTTGACAGTATTTATGAGAAAAATACTGGCGATACCAAATGTTTACGCATATTAACTCAATTTCGAATATTTTTGGATATTGTACTTTTAATATTTTAATGCGAAAAGGCGCTATATGTATGTACATATTTGTGTAGATAAATTTGAAAGAGCATATTAAATAAACTCTTTGTCGTATTTAAAAAATCGTAACTTTTTTTTATTGCTTAGATGCTCGGACAAGCTCACAGCCCACCTGGTGTTAAGTGGTTACTGGAGCCCATAGACATTTACAACGTAAATGCGTCGCCCACCTTGAGATATAAGTTGTAAGGTCTCAGTATAGTTACAACGGCTGCCCCACCCTTCAAGCCGAAACGCGTTACTGCTTCACGGCAGAAATAGGCGTGGCGGTGGTACCTACCCGTGCGGACTCACATGAGGTCCTACCACTCGTAAAAGATAACCAGTAAAACATATAGGATGCAATCGATTACTGTTCAAATCTGACAGTTGGTTAACTAAAATTAGCGGCTGTATATTATTAAGGAAAACGTTATGTTCCACTATGGCAACATTAATACAGGTCAACACACAAAACAATTTAGTGAAAGTCCGAACTAATACGTACAGCATTGTAGATGTAAGAACACACTTCAAATCAACACGGTTCATTGAGTAATTACGAACTTAAAAAAATAATACATACACGTGATCTATAAAATGTAAAAAACAAAAACTGTAATCTTCAATACAACACGAACATTTATCTATATATATATTAAAACGTGAAGCAAAAACTTTGTATCCCTTTTTACGAAAATTGCGCGGACGGAGGAGTATGAAATTTTCCACACTTACAGAGAATATAGAGAAAGAGTGCACAATGCTCATATTATTTTTAAAATAATGCATAAAAGGTACATTAAATCAATAAAGAAAACATTACACACACTGCCATGTATTTGACACACACACATATGTATAATATATACTCTTTGTTTATTGTCAAACTTTAGTTTGTCAAAAACTGTGGTCAAATTGAAAATAGGTTAATATTGTTTATCTTTAATATTATTTGTCTATAGTGTAGTCTTAGTGAAATCTGTGATTATAGAAGTATAATAGTCTGACAATATTCTTTAATATTCTATTCTTTAATATCACACGATAGAGTTCACTCAAAACATGTACTTACGTAATTTAACTTTGGCACAGAAAGAATTAATGCTTCGATTATATTTCAAAGTTACGTTTTTGCTCATTACCATAGCGCGTTGATGTCAAAACGCGCAACGATGATTGGTTTATGTTAATTGCGAATATTTAATAAGTTTAAAATAGAAAGTCATGTTGCGTAACACCCGAGAGAAATGTACGAACAGCGCTCATAACGGTTAGATATTGAATAGATCATTAGCAATAAATGAGACAATATTGTCGATACGACCAGCGCTGTAGTCAGTCACCTTCGCTATCTCGGTTCTTGAGGCTATTAATCATACGTCGGTGGCGTACGCGCGGACGTAAAACACACAGATAAAATGCACCGATCGTAAACATTGCATCACGTTCTGGGATACAGACAGTGGATGCGTTTTTTTTTTTAATTTTTTTTTTGTTGCACATATTTGAACCTCTCAAAATTTCGAACGCCATTTCATAGGGCAATCTCAAAATAGTCCAGTCGAGATACGAATAATCCATAGTAATAGCCCTGCGTGTGTTACGTTTTCGCGTCAATACCAACTAAACATATTTCAACTGAGTTCCGCATAAAAAATTCTGAACATTAAGAAAGAATTAAGGCTACCTTTCATATCACTACCAAACACTCCCAAACGTCAACGTGTATTAAAAGATCGCGCGGGCGAAGCTGTACACGGAACATCAGTGTTATTCCAATTTTCGATCAGAGAACATTAAAGAATGATAAACTAAAAACGAAAACAACGGACAATAGCCCACTTTCCTATCTCATAAGAGTCATGAGAGGCGTCGCCGGCGCGCTCTAAAGGCATTCCACCGCAAGACGTCGTTGCAACATTCAGATAAACGTAATAATAATATAAAAAAAAGGTTTATTAACGAACGCATTCAATTGTGAATTCATGGCGGCCACTCGTGATGTCATTTAGCGCTTAATTTGATAGCGTATCATGAACGAGACAAGGAAACAGATGAGCTTTCGATGGAATTGACCGAGCATGTTTAATCGGTACGACTCACCGTGACCGACAGCATCACGCGGTGACGACAACATAATTTTATTATATTATGTCATTGACATTATATTGTTTCATGAGAAGGTTTTAAGCAAAAGAAAATAAAAAGATAATATCTAAAGCTATAGCCACTCACGAAGATCTCGTCGTTCCGCGAAATGCTAAATTTTCGAACACAAGGTGCGCTATGAGACTCGTGCGACTATTATATCCGTACGTACGTACACGCCTTTAGGAACAATGTCTTCACAGTCCCGTTGTAGATGTTAAATATTTAAAATGACTTTAAAATTCTTCTTCGTTTCGTTTTTTTTTTTTTTTTTAAATAATTGCCGTAAGGTCCATAAAAGAAGGTCTATTTACGGTAGGTGATATATTCGAGCGATAAAACCTCTCCGGAAAGGAAACGTTTTATCTGTGCTTCCGTGCTTTCATATGTCAAACTTCGGAATCGATTGATCCACGTTGTATTGAAACGTCACTAGTGATAACATCTGACAATCGTTAGGGCTTCTATGCCGGTTTAGAGTCACTACTCACTACAGGCCTAGAGCTCAACTACATTAGTTATTCAATTATGCAGACTCGTAACTATCAGATGGCCGCTTCGACCGAGCTCTCAAGCTGTTTCCCTCGATGACGCTCGTGAAAGACGTATAACAATGTGCATTCACATTAAAATTTGACACGATAATATTCAAGAATATGAATTTAACATTAACAATATAAGTAAGGTCGAACACCTTTTACGAGAAACGTAAATGTGCATTATGAGTCATCATCATCTTAGGCCTTACAGCCCAGGGTGGGCCTTAGCCTGGTCCAATATGTCTCTCCGGACTGCTCTGTTCAGGGTTTTTTCCTTCCAGTTCCTGACAACGGTAACTTTGAGGTCGTGCTCCACGCCATCCAACCATCGGAGTTTGGGTCTGCCACGATTTCTGCGGCCCTCTGGTTTGCCATAGAGCAGTTGTCTTGGCATTCTGGTCTGCTCCATTCGAACCACATGTCCTGCCCATCGTAGGCGTCCAATTTTTATTTGATTTCGTGCATTATGAATGCGTTATACAAATTCGTGATCTATCAATAAGAGAATACGCTTCGTACTGTTAGTAGTGAGAAGTCCGAACTCTTTTAAAAAAAAAGGATTTATTCGACACTACACAATATTTATAATGAATAACTAATTATAATAAAAGAATTTGGAGATAGTGAGGAAAATTGGTAAACGTCTCACTTCAATTAATATCTGACCCGAATTGAGACTGGTATGTTCTCGTGAAATCACTGTGAGAGGGCTTATGATGAGTAAGGTGTTTGGTAAGC